TACTGTAAGTTTCCAATAATCCAGTGGACAAAGGGATTGGAAGTGCAGCCCCAGGCCCATTTTTTTGTGAAAAATATTTTTTTTGAAAATAAGTTAAAATTCATTCAGTAGTGCATTATTGTTGATATTTAAAGCATTCTTTAATTAGTAAAATAGATTATACAACAGTACCAGAAATATATTTTACAAGAAAAGTAAATTTAAAAAAATTAATTCTATCAGAGATAGAAAAAAATATGGCTATTGTAATTATCAATTTATAAATAAAATGTCAGCCCTTTAAAATAATACTGATCATTATAGTCTGTGTAAAATAGTGGCAATTTTCAAACTAATTTAGTTTGAACAATTTTCCTTTTTTTCAGGTGTGTCTGTTTTTATTCAGGAAAACGTAAGGAAAGAATAATACAGAAAAATATTTTGCATTTTATAAGTCTGAGTATAAGAATAATGTCGACTATATGATTGAATTATAGATTTTGAAATTTGCATATAAGAAAAGCCAGAGAGGTGGTTCAATGAAGTTAAAAAAAAGATTATCAACAAGTTTCTTTTTTTTTCTTTAAAAAATCTTAGTAAATAAATATTTAGTGTTTGTATTTCAAAATATCATATGTATAGCAGCCATAGAAAAATATCTGTGATTGCAATTTTATTTTCATTTAGAAATTTATTATTTATTTTATTTTATTTAGTATTTTAGCTAAATGATATGCTTGTTTGCATTCATTCTGCTGCATAGGCAAAATATTAGACATGTACTCATCTTAGGGTCAGGTGTGAGAAAAGTCTTGAAAATTAGGTTTTTACCTGAGTTTAGAGACCAGTTAGGGAGTACGAAACTATAACTCTTCAGCTGACGGCCTGTTATAGTTGTTTACTTTGTTAATTGATGATTTTTTTTTTTTTTTTAATCTTGGATACTTGTAAGGTAGAAACTGGATATTTATTAAAATCTGCTGCTTCAAATGCAATAAAAATACTCAAAAATAAGTAATAATAGGCAGCCGTTTACACTTACCATAGCAAACCTTTTAAAGAAGAGAATAACAGAATCAAAAGAGAAACCATTATTATTCTCAAGACAGAAATGTTGAGAGATAAGAGACAATATAAATAATGTCTCCAAATGAAAAAACTATTTCAAGCAAAACAAAACCTTAATGTTGTTGGATTAGTTTTTATCTAACAACATCAAAACGAAGAGTTCTTATGACTATAAAAGTTATTTTTACTGGGCACACATGTTTAAGATGCTATCCATTTTTTTAAAAATTTTCTTAAACAGTGAAATTAATAGCAACTGACTTAAATTGAAAAGTCATACTGAAGAAAAATTGTGCCTCTGACAAGAATTGAACCTGTAACTCATTTTGTTCATTAGGGAAACCACTCTTTTAGCCATAGTTTGTCCATGGAGTCCAGCTTGACATAGCAAGGTTTGAATTAACTATTTAAGGAAAGCACATTTCTTGTTGGGACTTCTATGAATCTATATCTGCTAGCTTTGATTTTGTTGAAAACTCTTCTGTTAAAACATTAAATAATTACATCAAGAAAAGACTCTAAGGAAAGTGAGTCAGCAAAACTGTTCTTTATTTTGTTTATGTGTGTGTCCTGTAAGGCAAGATACTACTTAGCAGTGTCGGCTCAAGCAATGGTTTTTGTGAATTTCGTATTTCAGCATTTAATTATTGAAGGATAGCTGCATCCACCAGCATGTTTTATTTTCTGGTAACAGAAAGGTGTTCATGTGGTGGCAGATACTTTGCAACTAAGCAGATGAACATTTAGTTGAAATAAGAATAAAAGTTAAATGCAAGGATATAGATTTATTATTAGTTATGTAATCTGTTTCATTTTTAAGTGATGAACTTAATTTAAATTCAAACAAATTCCTGTTCATATATTTTTAGTATATTTGTTATTTAAGTTTATATTACAGTGATTATGATAAGAAAAAGGTTCATCAGATAATTTTGTTTTATTTCTTTTATAAATTACTCTAAAATTGTAAAATTAACATTGTCAGGTATTCAGTTTGGTTACAAAAACATTCCCTATTACTGGGTGTTTGCTGGGAAGACAGAAACAGATTTAACTTTGTATTTCTCTATTATCATATAGTTTTTAAAGTTTACATTTATATGCATTGGTCTATCATACCACAATCAAGCAACGTTGTTCAGCTCACTTCCCAAAACAGAGATACATATAACTATTATTATGGCAATAAAACTTGTCATATTTAGATTATATTTTAATAAAATAACTCACCTAAAAATGTTTTTCTAATAATAATAAACAAATGATAAGCTTTAGTTTTGCTGATTGTAATTAATATCAGTGACCGACTAGCCAGAGTGTCAGCTTCCCTAATGGCAAGTGGGCCCCTGATGGAGTATGGCCCCTATATCAAATAAAAAGCAATAAAGAAACAAACACTGTTTTAGTAATAAAAAAGAATAAGAACTTTATAAAGTCATCTGCACACTGTCAGTTACTTAAGTCCAATGTGAGAGGACATTTTCAAAGATCATAAAGATATGGTTAAGAAAATTAAATGTCTAAAGAGAATGTTGTTATCAATTAAAAAGGAGTTGTTAGATGAACTGGAGGCAGAAGCAATTATTGGCAGATTTGAACAATCATCACAAATGATTGCTTTTAATATAGTAGACTGCATGCAATGCTTTATTGTGCTTTTAAACTCTCTGTTAATATGTAAATTGTGAAGTAAACTATTAAAAAATATCAACCAATTACTTAAAATTAAAAATAAATAAATTAAATATTCAATTATAACATTCTATATTTAAATTTGATATCTACTTCCAGTAATAAATAATGTACATGTCCACTGTAATTACTAAGTCATAAACATTTTTTCCAAACATATTTAAAAAAAAAAAATTTATTCATTATGAAAATTAATTGATAGCATTGTAGCTGTGGGTGGGCCCCATTATCTCCTGGAAATCAACATTTTTAACCCAGTCTGCCACTGATTAATATTTAAAACATATTTAATTTGTGGCTGCTATTTTAAGCAATTTTACTGACATTCTAAAAATGTAAGGCTTTTTCTGCTTTTGTCAATTTGTACATGTAAAATAATGTATTGCTCTCAATTGTGCATGTTTATGTACAAAGAGTATCACAGGTAAAAACTGATTTGTAGTTGTAATATGTCTATATAAGTATCTACATTTCTATACACCTTTATACACAAAATTTTTTGTTAATAATTGCATAAGCATGAGTCGTAGTTGTTTGTATATACAACTAGACTGATATCTGTACATATATAAATATATTAATATAATTTCTCAATTTTAAATATGTCCAGACTTTAATAGTTCAGGTAATGTATGCAAGTGTAAGATAAAATATATAAATGCTTATTTCTGTGTATGCAAAACAGTCTCTATATTGGTATTGTAGCAGAATTTTATTTCTTATGAAACTGTTTGAAAATGGTCTAAAAATATTTATTCCACTTTGAAAATAATTTGCAAGAATAAAAGTAAATTTTTTTTTTTGTCTACAAAATATATGAATGAGGGGATTTGTTTTAAACAAATTATAAACCAAATTATTTTTGATTCTAAATTCAGAATTTTAGACAGTATATTTTTATAACAATTTGCTACAGTAGTGTGAAAAGAGTGTTTAATTGGAAAGAGCCCATTAAATAAAATTGGGGATACAAAAGAAGTGAATGAATAAAATCAATCGAAATAAACATTAGATATATACAAATGTTAATAGAAATATAATTAAAAATGAAACATGAAAACAAAAATATTTTCTCTCCCAAATAAAAAGACAAAAAAGAAAATTTAAATTTTTACTTGTTATAATACTAACAATTCAAATGTTCAAAGATCTCATTTATTAAAAAAAAAAGAAAAACTCCCAGAGAAGTGTTAACAAAATGTCCATGGTAGAAATGAAAAAAAAATCACAAACAGAAAAGATCAATATAATTTAGATGAAGTTCGAATGATCTAAAATAATTTTCAAAAATAAAAAGAAGGGGATTGGAATTTGTGCATAGTATAAAAAGTAAGGAGGTAGAAAGGAAGAAAGTGGAAACTCGTGAAAGAAGAGGGAATGGTAGTGAAAGAGGAAAAGTGATGGTCAGAGTATGATTTATAGAAGGAAGGTTTCATTTACAGAGATGATGTTTGGTCAGAATGGAAGAAGGGCTGAAATATGAACATTTAAAAAAAAATCTTTTTTTTTTATTAAACACACATTGATAAAAAGAAAGAGAAAAAAATTAATTTTTGATTGGGAACATTTTTTTAAATATCTGCAGGGTTGATTTTTTCAAAAGTTTTTGTCTGTTAATGTTTCCAAAATGAAAGTAAAAATGGAAACATCTGCAAGTTGCTTTTATTCTTCTCATCTATTGTCTTTTACATGTTTTTTTGTTTCCTTTTTCATTATGTCTTCATATACAGTATTTGAAGATGAAAAATGTGGATAACCATAAAAACTAGCCATCAATGGCCAACTTGAGTCAAGGTTTAATTTTGGGTTATTCCTTCATATTTTGATCAGATATTTTTGTTTCGTTTTTTTTTTTCACATAAGAACAAATGATATTTCAAATTTCTCAGTATCTTCATTTTTTTTCCTTTTCCTTCACTATATTTATTATTTTGGTCTGTGTTCCACAGATGATTTCAGTTTGTTGGTTTCATACTTATTAATCTACATAAGCATATACACACCATGCTCACTGTGGGGTACACTTACATACACACATATGCACCTATGTATGAAATTATACATATTTATAATAATTTCACATTTTCATCTTATGTGTGAGAGTGGATATTGCACAAGATGTGTAGTTTACTACAGATTGTTAAAACACTGGATGAAAGTGTTTTAAGCTCAATAATCATGTTGAAGAAAAATTGTCTTTTTGTTTTATGGAAGTTATGCATGTGTGGAACACAAGTGTTTATTTTAGACGAGTTAGCCCTTCATGTATCAACATTCTCCAACATTTTCTTGGAAGGGCCATTTTCATCCTCCTCATGAATTTCCTCGTCTTCATCCTCAGATGGTGATGATGGTGGTGGTGGTGGTGGTGGTGGTGGTGATGATGATGATGATGGTGACGACGAAGTCTCTTTCAATTTACTTTCTCCTTGCTGGTAAAAAAATAAAGAAGATGGCAATATGTTCTGATTTTGTTGGTGGATAGAAAGTGAAAGAGAGAGAGAAAGAGAGACGGACAGACAGAGAGAAAAGATTTGATTTCTTTTTAATATATACAGACACACACTTTTATATATATATATATATATATATATATATATATATATATATATTCATGTATGTATGTATGTATGTATGTAAGGCATTTAGTCTGTAAAATTTCCTTCAAATAAGTTTTGTTAAATTCAACCAAAAAATCAGTCTGTTTAATTTTCTATTGTATTTTTAAAATTTTTGAATATGAGGGATCAAAATTTTGAATAAAGACTTTATGTTTTGTTTTATCTTTGTTCAAGTACTTTCAAATGTCTCAGTCATTATCAAGAACCAGGTCCTGTCAGTGTAGTAGACAAGATTTTCTGGCCTAATTTTAGAGTGTTGAGATTTTAATTATTCCAAAGTGACATCTTGTGTGATAGTTAAATGGAACTAGTCTACAGTGGAAAAACGTGTATCAAATATTTATAAACATTATTTTGTAAGGTGAAGTTTTGCTCCTTTTAACCATTATACATGGTTACTTTGGAATAATTCAAATCCCAGAACTCAAAAAAAAAAAAAGAAGAAAAGATGTAGCTAACAGAATCTTGTTAACTACACTGAACACTCAGTTTTTGATAATGATTGAGGCCATTATAAAAGGATTTGAACAAAAACAGAACAAAAACAGAACAAAGCACATACTTTAGACAGTTTATTCACAATCCAAATGAATGATGAAGCAATGGATATTTATTTATTAATGCAACAGATTTTTATCACTTTAAACATTATTTTTAGTGGATACTCATATTTGAAAAGACATTCAGTATATTTATTAAACAGTATATTTATTTATTTTTGTCTATTGAGCTGAATATTTGAGAAATCAGAGAGTACATTCTTTAATAAGTTTTCTCGAATAATCAGCTTAGTAGATAAAAATAAATAAATATATTGTTTAATAAATAAATGTAGAGGCCACTCAGATATGGGTATCCACTAAAAATAATGTTTAAAGTAATAAAAACAATCCTGATGTACAATATTGTATTCAAAAATTTGAAAAATACAATAGAAAATTAAACAGACAGATCTTGTTGGTTGAATTTAACAAAACTTTTAGTGATATATATATATATATATATATATATAAGCACACACACACAAAGATATATATATATATATATATATATATATATATATATATCTGTGGGTGTGCACGCTTGTATGCATGTGTGTGTTTGTGTGTGTGCACATGTTTATGTGATACTTATTTGGAAAATAAAGAAAATGTCATTCAATATAGCAAAAATTATATAAATAAAAAATTAATAAAAATGAAAAAATAACAAAAACTTTCTGAGAAAATAAAAGATAATTTTATCCAAATAATTTTAATATAAATGTGTGAGCAAGTAGTTCAAATGTATTAAACTTTGAAAATTTTTTCACATTTCAATATATATATATATATATATATATATATATATATATATATATATATATATATATATATAACATTAAGACGAGATGTAAGACAATCCATGAGTTAAGTAAATTTATTTATAATAATGATATGCCACTCAATTTGATTCCTAAAACCTTAAAATTAATACCAGAATAATACCTGATACCATAAAGCCTTTATTTTACTTGATTTATTTATGAATTAATGACAACATTTTTGGTTCCTTTCATGGTTCTGACAGGGTAAATCCAGTTATAACATTTTATCACCAAAGCATTGTTACAAGTAATAATAAAATTTTAGTAAATTTGTTTTAATTTTTATACTAATATTTTTCTTGTATAAAAGCATATTTTATGATAAAGCCTGGTGCAAAAGCTAAAACAATTTATCATTTGACTTTTTTTTTATTTATGTATGTATGGTAAAGAACAAATAGGAAACATTTATAAATCTAACATGTTTTACTGTTATTAAAGTTTTATCAGAGAATAATTTTTAGAAAAAGAATTCTGTTATTTTTATATTATTTGATTTTCATTGTTTAAGCAGACTTCACATGCATTTGACTAGTCAAGCTGCATTCGTGTGTATAATTTTATGTATGTAAATGTATCATAATTCTAGTTTATCTGGCATTCAGATGATAATGTGTGTATGTGTGTGTGTGCGCATGTGTGTGTTTGTGTGTGTCTAGTAGGCATTATTTAGGCTTGGAGGTTGTTTACATGTTGATTTGGGTATGTTTTTATATCAATACTGAACATGGTAGTTAAATATGTACGTTTATATATATGTGTGTGTGTGTGTGTGTGTGTGTGTGTGTGTGTATAATTATCATGTTACTTGCTCCTATATTTAAAGTATACATAACAATATGATTTTGTTTGGATGAGGATCGGATCAAATGTAAATATATATTTATTACATAACAATATGTATGTCCAGGGAGCATAATACTTATTGGAACAGAAAATGGAATTTGTAGGCTGAGTTCAGATTCCAGTTCAGGGGTGTAGTATTTACTTCATACTAATACCCTTGGGAAAGGCATGAATCCATTTATTCTTCACCAGCAATAGATAAATATTAGGGCAGACTGGGTTTTTGAGATTTAATTGGCAACGAGTCTAGAATAATAACTCTGAATTAAAAATGTGGGGAAGTGAGTAGGACAACCACTTCTCCAAGGCAGCCAGAGCAATTCATAGATATTAAAAAAAGGAATCTGTGCAGAGCTATGGTCTCTTATGGCTTTGAAAGGATATATGTAGTCATAGCAATAAAAAAAATACATAGAAATTGAATCAAATAAGTTTATCATTTTCCATTTAGCTTATTCTGAATAATATTGTATTTTTGTTTAAAAGCATTTTGTGAAACTGACTTCATTCATAAAGGTTGGTATTTATTAAATGACATTAATACTAGGACAAAATTACAATTATGGAACACTCAATGAAGATCAAATTCACTGACAGTACTTTGCATTATTAACATATACTCTGGCAATTTTATTATTATTTAATGCAAGGTTTTGGCTGAAATGTTCATAGGCTGGCCAAGATATAAATGTAAATAGAGATATCAATTGGTGGACTAAAAGACATGCAAGTGTACCAGAATACAATAGTTGGTCAGCCAGTTGTTATATCCTGGTACACTTGTATGCCTTTTAATCTACCAACTGGTGTGTCTGCTTATATTGCATTACATCTTGGTTAGCTTATAAACTTTTCATTTGACCCTTGTATAAATTTTTATAATACAAAATTATATATAATTTATGTGGCATAATTTTAATTTTTTGTAACTAATGAACTGGATAAAGAATTTCAAGAGTGCATTATCATTAATGCTTAATGCTTTATTGAAAACTGACAAACAAGTTTTCAGGTGATTACATCAAGTTCCATTAATTTAATTCCAGGTAGGATAATGACCTTGTGTGCATAATGTAATGGTTATTAACATTTCAAGTTCAAATTCCAACTGAGGCAGTTGCATTTGTTTTTGCACAAATATCCTTAGATGGGTATAAATCCATCACTTCTCCAGTTAGGAGAATAGCAGGGCAGAGTGGGTTCTCTAGCTTTGGTGGCAACCAGTCTAGTAGAAGGAAACCTCTGAATTCAAAACCAGTTGGGCAAGCTACACCACTCCTTTAATTTTGTTCAATGTATAAATTATGAGGAGGTGTGCATAGTGGTTATCAGCCTGGAGAGTGGGAATGGCATGTTGAGATCAAATTTCAACTGAGCATATTGTACTCACTTTTGCACAAATATGTTTGGAAAGGTATGGCTCCATCTCTTTCCCTACCCACCCAGCTATGGATTAAATAGCAGTGCAGACTGTACTCTCTAACTTTGACTGGCAACCAATCTTGTCATTCTACTGAACTCTGAATTCAACACTGGTTGGGAGTAGAACTAGAATCTTGTAAAAAAAACTACCTGTTATGAAAAGCACAATAGAGATATATGGTATGTTGAGGTTGTGGCCTTATATTCCAACAGAAGAGTCTACAAGGTTGACATACATACATGGATTAAATAATGAATGTATGCCTGCTTGGACATTGTATTATTTGAGAGGCATATCATGATGATGAGTTCACATTATGAGAGAAAAGCCAAGCATTTCTGTAATTATTCAAAAACTGGTTGATAATATAAAGGCTTGAAGTTGCTTTAAGGTAATTGATATCTAAAAATCTAAGCTATGCCTATAACCATTTTTCATTAAACAAGTCAATAAAAACTTGTATAATTTACATCTCTTTGTGAATATTTCATTGAAATTTACCAACTTTATATAAATAAATTATTGAAAATAATGTAAAATATATTAAAAAAAATCATGAAGGAAACGTTTGCATCTTACATCTTGTCTGATAAGCATACATATATTTACATAAATGTATAGCTAGAGATACAAATAATACACTTCCTCACACATTATGTTCTTAGTATACCAATATAAAAATATTTGAGGATAGAAAAACAAAATGAAAATAAATATAAATTAATAATTTAAAGCTGACACAAAATGAACTGTTCATAGAAAAAATATATCAGAAAGAAAAATATAAATAAAATTGTAGAAAAATACAAAAACTTAAAATCTAGAATTTGAATGAAGTTCTGTTGACTTCCAAAATGTACTTTTTATCATGTTTGAAGACTTCCACCATGTATTTAAGGATTACTTATGTAGGTACCATTATTTGAAGTTGGATTTCTTTTATGTTGCAAGTACAGTTGTAAAGCAAATGCCCAAATGAGGAGTTTTTAAACATACAAATCATATGATCATGTTAATAGATTTATTTATATTCATTAAATAATGGAACAAATATTTCCTAATAGAAAATCTACACCGAGTAAAATCTGTGATCATCAATCAGCTACAAGTAGGGAGGCAGCACAATGTTGTAATGATAGCAAAAATCTTTTAAACCTACTCCATTCATGTAACAAT